TTCAGAGGAGGGATGAAATCCCCAATCTGGAAAGTTATTAGTCCTGAGTAAAACTGCTGAGCCAAAAACACTTTCCCATTGGTATAAGGATTTTGCTTCCATGCCTTTTACTATAAATGTCTTATCCCAGATTGGTAATTTTTCTGATGAACTTTTCTTGTTACCTAGACTTTTCAAATGGACAGAGCATTTGCATTACAAGATTGAAGGCAAGATCATCTCATTTTACTTTGAAAATGGCTATAGATGTAAAACCAATGGTCTATTAACAGTGACTTCTGTTATACTTTTCATAGGAGGAGACCTCACCCAGCCATGTCCAGTCAAGTTTGGTCTTCAAAAATTTAAATACAATGTCAATCATTATCTCCTGTCTTTTTAATTCTTGTTCTTTTATTGTTCCACTATTTAATAAGATTTTTCTCACATTCATGCTTCCCTGTTAAAAATCTTCAAAGATTTAAATGGGGCAATATTAATCATTATCTTGACTGTCTTAATTCTTGTTCTTTTATTTATTCTTCCCTGATTGTATAAATAATATTATTTAACACTCAGTAACCTCTTTGAAACTGATCTTCAGGCAACAGCAAGAATTTTTCTCCTTGGTAAAAGACAACAAAAAATGGACCTGTTGTCATTGAATATTGAATCAAATGAATTGATGTGTTCATGCTGTGATTGTATAAATGGACAATATTGCAAGGTTATATTCCTTTTAACTCAAAAAAACTGGGGTAGATGGATAATGAAACTCTGCTTATTTATTCAAAAAGGCATATGAGCTGTGCCAGGGATATTCAATACCATGATGATCCGTTTTGTTGAAAATCGATTAGGTATGGAGCTCCTGTGAAAGTTCTTTTAAATTAACCAGAAAACTGTTCTTGTGGACAGAGGTCCTTGTGTGTTTATCTCTTAGCCATATTCTTTACATCCCCAGGGTAAACGCAATTATGGAGAGGTTTTTGGTAGCTTAGGAGACTTTTCTGCTAATTTTGGTATGCAGATATACTGAGAACTGTGACCTATATCTGACACAGGCCCAATCAGGGTTTGAACACATGATTCATTTGAAAACACCTCTTCAATGGATGAACACTTTTCATCTTTTTCTATTCAGGGAGGAGAAAGTCCTGCCAGTGGATGATTTTAAAATCCGTTTTGATGAAAACTATATTGGGAGGAAAATCACCAACTTTGCAAATAGATATAGATAAAACAAATGAGGTGGTCAGAGAGCTCTCAGAAAAAAAAAAAGTGTGTACATTGAATAAGGTAATCTAATTTAATTTGATTTATGATCCTCATAAGGGATCCCAGTGTACTAGAAGATTACAGTTTTGACAAGGAAATTTATTTTATTCTTAGGGGTCAAGGGATCTCCCCAAATTTAGTGAAACACATCATTAATAAATTTTCCATTATGTCCTCATTTTCATAGTGAGGGTCCATAAAATAAACTGATTTCAAGCGATGTTTAAGTAATTTTTTCAGTCAGAGGTGATGTTTTTGTAAGAAAAAAAAGCTACAATTAGTTGGTAATAAAACCTCTGCCAAATATTATGAAATTTCATACAGAAAGAACTTAAATTCCAACATTGTTCCAAATTACAAAATTAATAATAAAAATGGTCAATTTGAAGGAACTGCCAGAAAAAGGACTTAAACTCCGTTCTCAGTTCAAAAGACTACCAAATATGACTTGAATATGGAGGCCCAAAGAATTTTCAAGTGGAAGAAATCAGACTTCAGACTTGTACCAGTTTACCAAGTATAGCTAAACATAGTGTCATGGGGTATTTAGGGAGAAAGTGCTGAAAATCTGAATGTTAGTTTAGTAAGTAGAACGTTCATTGTATGAACCTTTGATATAAAGTTGTGTTACACAGTTGTCTCTTACTTTGTTCCTTGTGACGTCATCTCACCAAAGCTACTGGATCAGCAACGTTGAGTATACGACTCAACCTTCGCCCACCTTGTGATCTAAAATAAATACAACATGAGCAGGATGGGATTGAGGATCGAGACAACCAACTGCAAGGCTGACCATAAGGATCGACCATGGACTTGCCCGGTGACTGAGGGTGGGATTGTAGTAAAAAAAATTTTGCAATATCAAAAAAACATTTTGAAGATTTGTCATGAAACCTCATAAAAATAATTAAAAATAACTCAGTAAATATTGTCTGTGTAGAGTTGATGCTTGTATAATTTAATAGAACATTATTTTCCTTCAGATTTGATAGAGAAAAAAAAACTACAATGAATATTTATTTTTGAAAAATTTACTTGCAATTTTGAAATTCTTCTGTTTGTTGATGACAAAAGAGATCTGTTTTATTAAACAAAGATGTGTTTAACGTATTGAAAAATGTAAAGTTTAATGTTATCTTGAGTGTGAAATATATTTAAATGAAATTTATTTTATTTTTACAACTGTCCAATTATCTTTTTGTACAGAAAATCAAAGAGGATATAATTCAACAATTCTGAATTATCTTCCTCATGTTAAAAATAATTATGCATGATGTTTGGTGTGCATAGAACTTTTATGACATTGATTACTGAAAGAAAGCGAAAAGAAGGTAATCAATTAACATTATAAAATTAATTCAGTAAGCCTTTTCCACATTTTTTTATAGGAAAACTATTAAAATCTTTTGTTTATTATTGTACTAGTAATTACATTACTAGTACAATAATAAACAAAAGATTTTATAGTTTTCCTCAATATAATTTTTAAAAAACTGAATTTTTGTAATTAAATATTTTATGACATAGGTAATAAATGAAATAAATACAAAAGTAAATGCCAAATAGTTAAAAAAATATTTAATTTTATTATTTTTTAAAAATATTTTTTATATTCTTTTATATAAGTTTCATAAAAGATAAATTTCTAATTGGTTAAGGCAAGGTTAAAAATATTATTTTTAAACATAAACGAAACTATTTTCTGCATCTTTTGGTCTTCCGTATTTAATTATCAAAATTAAATCAAATAAAAAAAACAAATGGAGACATTTCAATTCATTATTTTAGACGCGTTTTTCTTTTTTAAGTTTTTTTTTTCGGGGGAAAACTTAAATTTTGGTGAATAAATGATTAATTAGCAACAAAAACTCTGGCTTGAATAAATATACTTTCCATCAGCACCTCAATCGAGTTTAAAATCAGCCAACCCCTCGAGCAGTTCTTATTCTATTGAAAGTGGGATGGTCAGGGTCAATCCATGATTACGGAGGTGTCGAGAGAGCTTGCAATTTTTGTTTCTGGTCTTAATATGCGTTAACTCCCACTTTCAACATGACCCCTGTCTGTAACATATTTCATTCAGTTGAGCATGCATATAAATACATTTTCATTTATCTATCTGGTACCCACAAAATAGTGCTTTTTGTAAAACGACAAAATGTGTATAAAAAATGACTGACCATGGCAAGCACAATCGAAACTTGCACTTAAAAATATTTTTGTTAACCATCGACGTCTGTTTTCGTTTTCTTCAAACCGTATTTCGAGGTGGTGTTAATATTTTTGTCTGATTTTAATAGTTTTTCCTGGACATTTTAAAGTAGAAAAGAACTCAACTGCTACTACTTTTTGAACAAGAAATGAAAAAGTCTTGTCAAATTTATTTTTTAATTTAATAAAAGAAACTGTATAATTTTCATTTCAGTCTTCTTAATTATTTTAAAAAAGTCTGTTTCGTTACTTGTTTTTAGTTTTGTAACGAGTTTTGTTTGAGTGTTTTCAATAAAAAATACTTTCTTTTCCATGAAGTTGTCAGTTCTATTCCGAAGATAAATTTATTTTAGAACTGACAATGATACGTTTTTTTTTTCTTTGAGAAGGGTGCGTATATTTTTAAGCAACTCTTTAATAATCTTTTGGTTTGTGATACCCTACAAAAACATAAAATTAATTAAAAATCAGCAGTTTCAAGTAAAACCACGTTATTGCGAAAAAAAAAAAAAATGATCATACCAAAAGCACCCCCCCAAAAAAAACAATCGATTAATAAATTAAAAAAACATTTCTATTTCACAAGGGCAATAGTGCACAAAACAATTTCATATTAAATTAAGTTTTACTAAAAGTTTTTTAAATTTTTTTTTTATAGTTCTGTTGTTAGCAAAATTTATTTTAAAAAATGATTTCAAAGTAAACAAAAAGTTATTTTTTTTTTTTTTTTTAAACATGACCGATTTAGTTTTTAATTTAGAATTAATTCTGAATTCAAGTCAATTTTAATAAATAAGTTCACAAAGAATCAGAGATTATTATTTGTCTTAATTTCTAATCACTTATTGCAATTTTTCCATTCCCCCACAAGTGCATTTATGGAAATTTATTACAGTAATTAAGCATTCATTTAATTAACCAATTTTTAGTGTGCATTTTCTGTTTATTTCGATGTTCACGTAGTTCATTACCAAAACATTTCCAGGAGTATGTATTGTAAAAATAAAAATAATGGCTTTTACTGCCACACTATCTGATATAGACAATGATAGAAACAACAATTCAGAAAATTATAAAGAAAAATTGGAATAAATTGATAATAGAATTACTTAAAGTAAAAAGTGTAACTGTAATCAAAACAAAATTCACAAAAGTCGATCATAAAAGTTTTTTAAAATTATGTTACTAACTTTTTCAGCAAAAGTGTTTATTGGCATAATTCTTTAAAAGACGATTGCAAGTTGTGCCATTTAGTTTCAATGCAACTTTGGAATTAAAAAATATAATAATTAAATAAAAAGATATTTAAAATTAAAACGTTTTGATTATTTGTGGCATGAAATATCTATCTCTGAAATAAAACGGATGAGCACTCCTTTCGAGCTTGTTATCAGGTCACATGCAAGCAAGAGCATTAACCCAACTGTTACTGACTTTACGTTACAACTTATTAAAAAAAAGAAACAATCTCACCACCAGTTTAATACTTTAAAAGCCAACATGTAAGAAAAAAGTTAAAAGTTGAAACTTACATGCTAAAGGTGTCCTAACAAAAAACTGAGTAGTAGTGAGTGAATTATCCAGAACAAATCAACGACAGATGAAGCAAGAATAAAGTAACCTTACAAGTCTTAAAAAGTTTGTGGTCATATCACTCTCACACAGATTTATTCGTATGTATATACTACTATGGTGTTGCATGACAACAAATGAGGTCATGCAATAAGCATTTATTCATAGAACAGTCTCTCTTTCTTTGTCCCCTCTCCCTCTCTCGTGTGGGTTGGACGAAATCACATAATGAATGATGTCCCTCTGTATCGAGTAACCAGAAAACCGAATGAAAAAAAATTGAAAAATAACCAAACTTGTTTCAAATTTGATTCATTTAAAAAGTAATAAATAAATAATATTTCTTAAAACAAAATATTGACCATAACATCACACATAATTCTTATTTATAAAACTGGAAACAAATTCGACAGTCAGAGAAGAGTTCGAAATAAAGAGCATAAAATTGAGGTGGCATTTTTGAGAGATGAGAAAAAAAATGTAATTATACAATTAGCATTCCAGCAATTGAGAGGAGCATTAAGATTCACACAGATCCTTTATGCAACCTTAATTATTTAATATGACTTGTGTATGACGTGTATAATGCAAAATAATAACTTTTAAAGCATTTCACCTTTGAAGTCCTTAATATAACCCACTTATAGCTAATAACAGAATACTTTTCACTTTGGTCAATAATTGCAATAACTTTTCAGGAATAGCCACTTTTAAAAAATACTATTTTCCGTTATAAGAAAGACATTTATGATGCTTCTTGGTATCATTATATTCAAGAAAATATTTCATAACCAAAATGTCAATAGTTAAATTATAATGCATGTAACCAATTTTTTCTTAATATTGTAAGAGATTTTCCTAAGGCCTAACCTAACATTGTATGTACATATATTTAGAGTCAGTTGGTTAGAACATTCAGATCTCTCACCATGGTCAAATGATGATGGAGGGTGACTTTCTGGCATTTATCAGCCTAATGAGTCGAACCTAATGCAAGTCACCTACAACAGGTTGAGCTTGTGAGTGAAATTTAGTAAATAAAACCGTTCAGAACGCGTCAATGATTGTGCTAGTACATAAGTCACAAGTTATCGTGACTAAAGGTTTAAGCATACTGGCCTTGTTCAAAACATTGATTACATCAGATTATACACACTCTCCCAGAAACTGTAACTAATGTCTGCTCAGTATAGTTGTAGTATAGACAACAGAGCAGGCATCTGTAATAGGACTTGGTTAACAGTTTGGTCAGGAGGATGAATGTGTGCTTGGAAATGAATGGCCATTAAATATGCAGATATATACAAATGGAATGTGTCGGAGTTAACTCCTCCTTCAGTCTGTTAACCCTTTCACCAGGGGTCTCTCTTCCCTGGCTATAAATAGCCGCTGACTCTTCACCTCTATCTCTCTTTTTCCTTCAGGCCTGTGCACTGACACCTTGAGGTAAAGTCTTTTTCCTTCAGGATTTCAGCTATCAACCTCGAAATGTAGTTGCTAACATGGGATAGCGTGGAAACACGCTAAACACAATATTCACACACGCACGCACATACAGAATATTCAGACACACTCTTTTTCCCTCAGGATTTCAGCTATCAACCAAAAATGTATGCTAATAAGGGATAGCGTGGAAACACGCTAAGCAGAATATTCACACACGAACGCACATACAGAATATTCAACACACTTCGTCTTTTGTACTGTTTCCATGTATTGTAACTTGTTATTAAGATATATTTGTATATACATATATTATCGGTCTTGTGTTTTGTTTGCTTTCTTTACCTTCTTCTTTGGACTTAATCAAAGTCCAAGCTTTTTATATAGTTGGGCTTGGCGGGCAGGAGTATCTGAACCTTACATGCGTTTCTTCTACGTCTGACTTCTATCAACAACATAACAGCCACGCCATGAACCCTCAACAACAGGTAACCGCCACGGCCCCTCTACAGATGATACACATTCAGATTATGTATAAAAAGTACTTGAATATGTAATGAAATTGTACTTTGAAATCAGCTTATAAAATTGTGGTATTTACTTGATCTTAAACATTAACAACAGATGCTGGAGACAATAAAATAATCTCAAAAACCAAGCAGTCTAGATACATAAAACTGAAATAGTCAGTACTTATATAATAAACGTGTTATACTTTGCTGCAATTAGATCTCTTTTTGAATTACTCTGCATGTTGGCCAGATGTGAGCGCTAAGAAAGCAAAACACAAAATAAAAAAATTGTCTTACTCTGACAACAGAAAAAGAACTACGTGAACAAATCCAACCCAACTCATTCTTCACACAGATGGTTGCTATACACAAACTCAACAGGGCCAGCAAACCATTTATCTGCACTGAAGAGCCAATAAAACCTTAAAAAAAAATCAAAAAGCATCTCTCTTCACCAACAATCATCTCATTCCCGACTTAACTGAATGCTTCATACTCACCACCCATGAATCAAATTGAGAGCTGGGGAAGCTGTTATACTCTGCTGTAATTAGATCTCTTTCTAATTCATGACAGCCAGATGTGAGCACTAAGAAAGCAAAACACAAAATAAAAAGTTATCTGCACAGGGGCTCTGAGCATCATATTTAGTCCACAAAACAAATCCCTCAAATCTAAAATGCAATAGTCAGTCACAAATATTACCACCAAAGAAACAGGCCTCTCTCTTCATTGTTATTGTTTTGTTGTTGATCTCCCATTCGATCAGAATCCAACAGAGACATTCTGTTCGCTCCAACTATCATATGATTGTCAGGAACTTTCCAAAATTGCCAATGATAACACCATGAATTCACCTTCCTGTCAAATTAAGCATGGTGAAATTTGAACCAAGGTCTCATATTTAGAGGTACCTATTATATATATATATATATATATATATATAAGGTCATCCCATAAGTTCTGTCTGAATTTTAACTTTTTGTTAAAATGAACAAAATTTAAAGAGTATTTTATAATGTCTAATGGAGCTGAACATTATTCTTATGTTTAGATGCATTTAAACTGATCAAATTTTATTTCAGAGAACAATAAAATTAAATTTTGTTTGATTAAAACCCTGCTAACATGGAAGTACCCAAGAATCATTTGAGGCACATAATGCTTTATGAGTTCAAGAAAGGAAACGGCTAGAAACATTCACTCAGTTTATGGAGAGGAATGTGTGAATGAAAGAACTTTGCAAAATTCAGAGGTGGAGATTTCACCCTTGAAGATGAAGATCGAACTGGACATCCAGTTGAGTTTGATGAAAAGCTTCTTGAAGTAGCCCTTGAAGAAAATCCTGCTTTATCAGTTGAGGAATTGGCAGTGGCTCTCAGTTCAAGCCATACAACTGTTCATCGTCATCTTCAACAACTTGGAAAAGTTCCTAAACTTGGAAAATAGGTGCCTCATGAATTGTCTGAAAACAACCTCAAATCCCGAGTTGACATCTGCTCTTCTCTCCATTCTCACTAACTTGTTTCACCTTTTTTGGATAGACTTGTGACTGGTGACGAAAAATGGATCTTTTATAGAAATGTTAAGCATCGTAGACAGTGGCTTGGTAAAGGGGAAGGACCCCAGCCACAGCCAAGAAGGGAACTTCATGGGCAAAAGTTTCTTCTTTCAATCTGGTGGGATCGCCAAGGAATAATCTACTTTGAATTCTTACCACCTAATGCAACAATTAATGCTCAAATATACTGTCAGCAATTAGAGCGTTTGAACCAAGCTTTGAGGTAAAAACGACCTGCTCTAATGAATCGAAAAGAGGTTTTTTTCATCAGGACAATGCACGACCCCACAAAGCAAGAATCACATCACCAAAGATCAAAGAACTTGGTTGGGAGAAAATTCCTCATCCACCTTATTCTCCTGATCTTGCTCCTTCAGACTACCATTTGTTTCGTAACTTACAGAATCATTTGGAATAAACAGCTTTTGTAACACAGGAAGAGGTTAAAACTGACATTTGTGAGTTCTTCAAATCAAAGCCAAAAGAATTTTACAGTAATGGAATTAGTAAGCTTGTTAATAGATGGAAGGAAGTCATAGATAATCAGGGAAAATACATTGTTAATTGAATCTGTAATTAAATGTAACATTTGGTCACTTGTTTTCTTTATTCAAAATTTGGACAGAACTTATGGGATGACCTGATATATATATATATATATATATATATATATATATATATATAAATTAGAAAAACAGAAGCATCATTATCACACTCCAGCCTTCCTTCTTTATCAACACTGTGACTCTATTTCATTCTGCTCAACCAAGCTTCACCTATCCACTCCAGGATTCTCTCATCCTCCCCACTGTGAACTACCAGCCTTCCTAATCATCCCTATTGCAACCTTGTTTCATTGACCTCCTATTCGACCAGAATCCAACAGAGACATTCTTTTCAATCTAGCTTCACTATCACACTCCAGGCCTCCCTCATGACCACCACTGTGACCTTGTTTTGACCAGAATCCAACTGAGACATTCTGTTCAATCAAGCTTCATTAATCAACTTCAGGCCTTTCTCGCTGCCACTGACGTAACCTCATTTTGTTTGATCTCCCATTCAACCAGAATCAAACAGAGACATTCTGCTACCAACTTGCCAATACACCTGAGTGGGCCTTACCACAAATGAACCTTGCTGACAACAGAGTTTGGCTCCAACATGTGGCCTCATCACATGATTGCTGGTCCATCAAACAACTCACTGTGTTGATTTCAAACATGAAGAAAACATACATCAATCCCACCAATGACACAGCCACACAGCTTCACTAATCTGCTCCAAGCCTCTCTCCAGACACCAAATGTGACCTTGGCCAACCAATCCAACAAATCAGTCAACCTCCTACCTTACCAACAATATACTTACACCTAATCACTTTCCTTACCAATGGTAACAGTGTATTAACAATTTTTGCCACCTTTTCACACAACTATGTATATATTATTCACACTTGATCAATACATACTGTTGAACTTTTAATCCTTGTTTATTTTTTCCCTTGTACCTATACACTCATTATATCAATGCCATGACAAATGAACTCATCTCTCCAGCAC